GAAAGTTTAAGTAGAGAGAGCTATGGTGTGAAGGGGAGATATGGGGAAAAGAGAGCCAGTCAAAACTATGGATGTATGAAAATACAGAAACTTACTATTTTGTAAGCTAATAATAAAATATGTTAAAGTGGATAATGGAGATATTCGGCACGACTGGGTAACTGCACCTGGAATCCAAAGGTTATCAAACAAAACCCCAGGTCCATATGAGAGACACTTCCTTTGTTTTTTTTTTTGAAGCAGGATTTCTCTGTGTATCCCTGGTTGTCCTGGATCTTACTCTGTAGACCAGGTTGGCCTTGAATTCACAGAGATCCATCTGCCTCTGCCTCCTGAGTGCTGGGATTATAGACTTGTACCACTACCACTGGGCTGTGAGACACTTTCTTATGATTTATTCATAAAGGCCTCAGAAATCTGGAACTGAGCTGGAAGCTTCCACCATGTGAGGTAGCATTCACAGTGTGGAAGATACTATACAGGCCACTATGGAAACACCTTAGTGGTCTTGTCTAGCTGTGAATCTTATAATCCATACCACCACCCTGCCAGGCAAGATCTTCCTGTTTGTACAGTGGTTACACTCCTGTATGGGGGTTAACCAATTGTTCTGTGATTGGATCTGAGGTCACTTCACCTAGGAAATTGAGACTTTGTACTGCAAACTGGTGAAAAGCTCTAACATGTCGAGGTTGTAAGCCTAGTAGGGAATTCACTACTGTTGTTCGATTACATTGACACAGCATCAAACTGCCTTCTGGGATTCATATTTATACCATGGACATTCTCTGCCTTAACCAGAGAAGAATCTTCTCATTGTGCCAGGAGCCAAGTCTTCCTTCTTCCTGAGAACAAATATCAGGTAAGTAAATAGCCTGAGTTAAGGAAGACCTTATCGCCTTCCTGCCAGGGAGAGAAAATTAGCAACTTGAGCCTAAAAACTGTGTTATTGACCCCTTGCTTGTGAGAAGGTTTGAAATAATTTGTTTGGGCTAAGAAATGCTTATAAACTTAACAATTACTGAATGGCCCTGGATCTTGACCCTCTTGCCTGCATGCCTTTATAATGGCCACCGGAACAATAAAATTCAAGCACTTGATCAGACATTCAGACCTGTGCTTCTTCTTTGTGTCTCTTGTCCTATCATTCTTTTGCCCTCTTCCCTAGGGTCTCATCGAATCCCTGCAGTCCAGGACCCTTGACGCCCAACGTGAAGCCCTTTGGGTCAGGGTCTGATGGAACATTTCTTTCACAAGGAAGTCTCTCAAGCATAGGATCGAGGCTTCTCTGGACAGAAGAGAGAAGATCCTCATTGTGATCTCCACAGAGTCACCCACCTGCGAGATTGATCTGCTGAAGGTAAGAAAAAGCAAGCCAATTCTAAGACAAGCATTAAGTAAACAGGATTTGTTCTTAAAGTGTCTCAGAGTCCCTCAAGGCACGAGGATTAAGGGTTAAGAAAAAGGATCTTTAAAAATTTCATTGGTTGTTTCCACAAGAGGAAACTATTGATGACAAAATGCTACCCCTCCTAAGGAGGAAATAAAAAGTTAGATCTTGAAAGTGAGAGAGCGAAAGGGCTAAAGTAGTTTTCTGCTCTCAGGCCTGTTAGCAAAAGAAAAGGAAAACCTATTTCAGAGCCCACCTGGGAGCAGGAGAGAATCAGAAGAAGTCCTGGGTCCTGTGGAGAGATTCTTAGTTCTGCTTTCTCTGTCTATTGTCTGTCATTGGAATGCCAATTTGTCAACATGTGTCAATTGTCTGTCTTTTTTGTTGCTTGAATGATTGCTGTTCTATGTTTCATATTCAAAAGAAAAAAATGGTTAAAACTGTTGGCTATTCATCCCTTGATTTAGTTTAAAACTTGCTTAAAAGGCAATCTCAATTTACACAACAGAAGCTGATAGATAAGTTACCCTGCTTTGTGGCTGGGAGTAAGGCACAGCAGGAGAAACCATGGCAGAAGTGATTATTTGCATAAGCTGCTCTTGGAGGGGCCAACAGCTTTTTGACTTCTATGGTAAAGGAATTGATGTTTTGGTTCCCCTCCCCCCCCCCCCCCCCAATATCTCTATGACAATGTTTATTGGTTTATTGGGTTCAACAAATGACAAGGTGCTTTTCTCTTGAAATTACAGCTAGAAAAAGTAAGAAAAATTTGTTTTAGTAAAATATATAATATGTGCATCTACTTCACTTTTGCTTTTAAAAGTATTAAAATATTCTACATGTCTTTGTTATACATTATTAGCCTATAAGTTATTGAGTATGTTAAAATTTGCAATTTGGTAACAGAAAGCTAGAATTAAAACTGGTAACTCAGGATTGGAGTCATTCAGAAACCAGATGTATAAAGGATAAGATTTAAAATGTCTCTTTAATGACATATTAAAAGCTGCGCTATCCTACATTCATATATAAGAACTGGCAGCCAAAACTTTATAAGATAAAAGTAATACACTTGGTGTTAATTTTAGAAAAAAGTAGATTGTTTGCATTGTTAAAAATTGGTTTTATTTCCCAAAGTTATGGTTATACTCTAATATTGCAAAAGAAACTTAAAAATGTAGATAATCTGCCAGTATTCCATTGGCTGCAGTTGTCAGTTCAATCTCAAGCTTGAGAATTTTTTACTCAACCATGTTTATGGTTGAGAAGAGGATCGAGCAGGTGGGCATGATTGCAAGAGTAATGAGTTAATGACAGCTGTGGCACAGTACAGGCCTGCTGCTACTTTTATTAGATACAATGGTAGAGGCAAATTCAGCCCCCCCTCACTCCCCAGATTGAAAAGGAGATATCAGTGGGAGGAGTTTGATCTGGGATTGAACAAGGCCCTGATAAACAGTTCCTTTTGTTACACAATTGGCTTATAAGAATGCTAATGTGGCCTGCTACACAGCTATCTTGCCATACAAAGCAAAGACAGACTAACCTGGATACATTCATCTTTGCTAAAATTGGGCCCTCATACAGTGTCTGGCTATGGCTGCTGCCTTACAATGGACCACTGTGCAAGCAATGCTTTCACAGAAGTGAAGGGATAAAAGATGTTTTAAATGTAGAAAGTTGGGTCATTTTAGAAATGATTGTCCTAAGAACAAAAGTACTAGCAGACTGTTTTAGGCCCAGATTAAGAACATTTACACTTGAGTTAAGACACAGCTCAACATGGGCTCAGCAGAAGCCTGTGTGACATTCCTTTTATCATGGTCATACTGACCAGCCCCTTTAAAAGATGTTTTCCAGACCCTAGCGAGGAGGGGTCAGCTTCAGACTGAATGGCATTCACAACAGACAGCTTATGGGCAAGGAATTATAGATAATGATTATGCTGGAGAAATTAAAATTATGCCTGCTTCCTTTCATGACATACCCATGCCTACTAATAAAAAAATTACTCAAAGAGTAGAGGGGACAAGATTGGCCTGAAACTTGGCCTTTATCTGATATACTCACTCAGCTACAAGTGATTGGTTATTCCATTAATACAAAACAAAGTTCAAACTCAAGATTTATGACACTTGTGGGACATTATAGCCTTGTTTACCTACTCCAGCTGCCAATCCAAAAAATGTATATAAAATTATGATAGATTTAGAAGATTGTTTTTATGTTATTCCTTTACATCTTGATGATTGTAAAAGGTTTAAATTTAGCACATTTGCTTATAATTTTTGAGAGCCTGTAGAAGGAAAAATTATGGATACTGGGTATATAGAATCATTTTTAGACATAAAATATTCTTTAGGCTTTCTTTACAAAGACATGGAGGCATGAAGCAGGTTGGAAATGTGGACAGACTGGCTAGAATGCAATTTAGTCAGGTGGAACCAAGCTGAGAACCATAGTGACAGGGCAAGGCCGAAGTGACAGGGCAAGGCTGAAGTGACAGGGCAGGACTACATTCTTGAGAAAGATAAGTGTACAGAGAGTTTTCATCTGATCCTGACTCATGTAGGTTGGGTTCCTTTGGAATGTTCCACTATTTTTATGTTATACCACCCTAGCAACCCACCCTCACCCCCTTCCCATTCCTTGGTTTGTGGTTTTTCCCTATAAAAACTCCTTTCAAACTGGCAGTCGGGGTCAATTCAGCTCCTGCGTGGGCATACGAATTGACCGGCAGCTAGTTGTCACGCCCTAATAAATAACCTCGCAATTGCTCCGGTACATGGTGTCTCGAGCAGATTACTGGGTGGTCGCGACTTTCTGAGACTTGAGAGAGGGTCTCCCCTCTGCGGAGGTCTTCAAGCCCATGAAGCAATATCATTGAAAAGTATTGCCTCAAGGAATGGCTAATAGCCTTCTGTTATATAAAAAATTTGTTGTTGCTTTAATACAAAAAGTTAGGAGTTTGAATGTTTCAGTGTATATTATTCATTGTGTGGTATTTTATTAGCTTATCCCTCTGGAGGAGTTTTAATTCAAGCCTTTGCTCTCATACAACGAGCTTTAAAATTTTGGGAAGTGCTTGTTGCTCCAGAAAACATTCAAAGGCAATATCTTTTCAATATTTGAGACACCAGTTATATTCCTAAACAAATTGTGGCACAGAAAATTCAAAAAAGAAAAGACAGTTTACTTACTTTAAATTATCTTCAAAAGCTTCTAGGAGATGTTAACTGGCTAACACTTTACTTTAAGCTCATCACAGGAGAACTTAAACCTCTGTTTGATGTTTGTAAGGGGGATGCAAATCCTGATTCCCCTGGACAATTAACTGTTGCAGAAAGTAGAGGAAACTGTTATTTATCAATAGATACATTATACAGACTGTTCAATTGTTGGCTGTTTCACAGCAGATCTTTGGCAAAAGGGATCATTAATGTAGATTCATATTTCCTTATCTCCAAAGAAAGTTTTAACACCCTATTCTGAAGCTGTTGCTGTGTTAATACAGAATTGTAGGTCAGGATCACAAAAATATTTTGAGAAAGAACTTAATGAAATATTCCTTATCCCAAACAGCAATAAAATTGGTTATTAAAGAATACTGATATTTGACCTATCACATGACCAACTTTTTAGAGAAATTTGATAATCATTATCCAAAAGACAAGTTGTTACAGTTTTTCTCTATGCATGCTTTTGTGTTTCCTATAAATTTACACACGCAGCCCATAGAAAATGTGTTTACTGTATTTACAGACAGCTTATCTAATGGGAGGAGAGTATATATAGTTAGATCATATGTTCATTCTCTTGAGTTTCCTCTTGCTTCAGCACAAATAATTGAATTGCATGCTGTAGCCATTGTTTGAAATACTGAATAACCAAGCTTTCAATTTGCATACTCATAGATAGTATATATTTTAAGCCGTAGCTCATGGTTTATAATTGCTTGAAATTGTTCCCTTTTTAGATATTGCTAATTCTCAGGTTTTACAAATACAGCTTAATTTAAGAAACATGTACTTTCCCTTAACTTTATAAGACATTTAAGAGCCCACACTGGATTGCCTGGACCCCAGGAAAATGCCACAGCAGATTTGTATACCAGGCAGATTACAGGCCTTCTTCTTTCTTCTTGTCAGTTCTTCTTGAGGCAGCAGAGGGAGAAGAGCATCACTGAGGGGTAGAATCTTGTTTTAGCAGATATTTAGAGTTGCTATATAAGAAAAGTTTACTTAGGTCTAAGTTACTATACCGCTGTGGCTGGTTTCTCTTCTATGATCCTCTGAGGCCAGAAACTGCAGTTTCTTCCACTTAGTACCTCTTCCTAAAAACAGCCAAGGATTAAGTAAACAGCCTTTGTTCTATCTCAGCAGGAACTGCTGGGCTCTAAACTTATGCCTTCTAGTTTGAGGGCACAGGAAGAAAAGACACTTAAAGAGGTTGTTGTAGAGTTTATTACTGATTGTGAAAAGTTTCTTATGAAAGCTATCTAAGGGGAGAAGCGGAAAGGTCCTAAGTGGAGAAAAGGAAAACTTCTATGTGCTACTCTAAGTGGGGATAGGTGAAAAATTCTATTCTATCTTTCCATTGTATCTGCCTCTCATCTTTTTGTCCTCAGTGCTTATGCATCTTTCAGAATACATGACCACATGTTACAGGATTCATTACAAGTTCACACCAAGGGTCAAATCATAAATTGAAATAGAAGTTTGCAACAGAGAATGTTTGCACACATATCCATTGGGAGTAATTATCTGGCTAAACATCCATCACCTGTCTAGCTCCACAGGTTCACTGAAGGTTTGAAGCTATAACTAAGTTATTAGTGAAGTTTGGTATAGATAGGCCCAGGCAATATTTTATCTTCTCTCCTAGCACCTATAGTAAATCGTTAGTTCCCTTTTAATGACCTTTGGCTAATTGTTTTACAACCTCTTGGGAATGCGCTGAATAGGAGAAAGTCTGGTTACTATCTAAAAGCAATTAACTGATGACACTTGGGAGACTGGCAGAGTTCTCATTGCAGTTTTGACTATCAGAGAAGGGTCTAATAGCAGTCCAGTTATAAAAGAGCTTAATAATCATTGATACAATTTTAGGAATTCTTATAGGATCGTCATTAAGACTTAAGAAGTCATCTATTTGTCTGTATAGCATCACCATAAGATAGTATATCTTTGTGGATCTGCAGAGATCTGCTCCAAATGGGTGTGTTGTTGCTTAGTAATTGTTACAGATGTTTAATAACAATAGCTTAAGGCAATAATTTGGTATTTCTAGAGAGTATATAAGTCAAATTGCAAAAACTTGTTTTCAGTGTCCTCAATTTTTTCCTAATAGTGTTAATACTTGAGGACTTATACCTAATCAATTATGACAAGTGGATGGTACTCATTTCTGATCTTGGAAAATTAAAACATGTACATGTGACTTGACACCTTTCCAGGCTTTCTAGTTGCAACTGCTTTAACAAGAGAAACAACTAAAAATGTAATTAGTTATTGCCTACATTATATTTCTATGCTTGGTGTTCCATATCAGGTTAAGATAGATGGAACTGGCTATTGCAGTCAGACATTTGAGATGTTTGTTGACAATTTAATATTACCCACATTACTGGGATTCCTTACAATCCTCAAAGATGAGGTATTGTGAAACAGATATTATGGAACTTTAAAATAATATCTTCATAACTCTGTGAGTGTGGGAGGAGCACACTGGAGCTTCTGCCATGGTTTTACAAGGAACATTGAAAAATTGGCTTTTAAAAAACAAAAGAGGGGGAGTTATATACATAAAAGGGGTCCCCTAGAAATATTCTTCATCATGTCTTGTTCTCAATTTTCTAAATCTGGATGCTTATGGCAAATCTGCTGCTGATTGCTTCTGGCACACCGAGACCAATAAAAAGTGTGCCACACTTATGTGGAAGGACCCTCTTACCTTTAAATGGAACGACCCAGACCCAGTTCTCATATGGGGCTGAGGATTAATATGTCTGTTTGTTACCTAAGAAGGCATGGCTAGATGACTGCCAGAAAGTTTAGTGAAACAGATAGATACTTCCACAAAGCCAGACCCAATTATAGATAAGATAAATCACAATTGACATCCAGGGAAGAGAGATCTTCCTGAGAATTCCCTTCTTTTTTCCCTTCCAGATAAAAATGAGCCACCAGTGGTATTTGGAGGTTCTTATCCTGATGCCAGCCTCTGGATTTGCACTACTCAGAACTTCAAGGGGCCATTGACAAGGACATCAAATAGCTAGAGATTGGCATCACTAATCTGGAAAAATCCCTCTTTTCTCTGTCTGAAGTGTTCCCCCCAAAACACAGAGAGCTCAATCTGCATTTCCTTCAGCAAGGGGGACTCTGTGCTGTCCTTAAGGAGGAATGCTGTTTTTATACTGACCACACTGGGGTAAATAGTTATAGTATAGCCAAGATCAGAAAGAGATTAAAATGGCAAAACAAACAGTGAGAACAAGAAGAAGGATGACTTAAAACCTGGTTCTCTGCCTCTCCTTGGCTTACCACCCTTTTCCCTTCCATCTTGGGTCCTGTGGTCAGTCTCCTTCTCCTTTTGACTTTCAGCCCTTGGGCCTTTAACACAGTCACTGGCTTTATAAAACAACAAATTGACTCCTTGGCATCTAAACCTCTACAAGTATATTATCACAGACTTGATCTAGCTGATAGAGGCTTGGCTGAGCCTTGCTTGACATATCTTCTGTAGGAGCTGCATAGAACTCAGATCTATGCACATTGGTTCGCATGGCACAACCACAGCGTGGGTACCCGCAAGGGGTGCGTGACAAGGTACTGCAGGGGAGGACTCCAATTGTCCACATCTGAATCCCCTGTGAAGCAAACCTGATTGTATAGAGGTTGGTGTTGATTTCTTGTGTCTCGAAGTGGCTGACTAGGACCCTGGATATCCTACGAAGCCCATGAGACATTTAACCCTCTCCTCCCCAAAAAGGCACCATTTCTAATGATAATGGGAGGGTCAGGTGAATTTCCCCTCTGGTTAATGCCTGCTCATTTATCAGTGAGACTTGCAAATGTCCTCTTTCTCAGACCAGTCTCTTTAAAAATTGTTAGAAAGGAGGAAATGCCAGGAGCCAAGACTTCCTTCTTCTTGAGAGCAAATGTCAGTTAAGTAAAAAGTCTGAATTAAGGAATACTTTATTGCCCTTCTGCCTGAGAGCAAATGTCAGTTAAGTAAACAGCCTGAGTTAAGGAAGACCTTATTGCCTTCCTGCCTGGGAAAGAAAATTAGCAACTTGAGCCTAAAAAATGTTTTACTGCCCTCTTGCTCATGAGAAAGTTTGGGCTATGTAATGCTTGCAAACTTAACAATTACTGGATGGCTCTGGATCCTGACCCTCTTGCCTGCTTGCCTTTATAATGGCAACCCAAACGATAAAGTTCAAGCACTCAATCAGACCGTCAGACCTGTGCTTCTTATTTGTGTCTCTTGTCCTATCATTCTTTTGCCACCTTCCCTAAGGTCTCATAGAATCCCTGCAAGCCAGGGCAGAAGAGAAAGAAGACACATACAGAGAGATTCAAGGTTGTTACAGTGTACTGAGAACATGAAGGCTGAGTGCTCATTCCATGCCTATGTGCCTGTGTATGTATATCCAATATGTATATTAAATGAGTGTACATCTGTGTGCATTTGTATACCATGTACTCGTGAGTGCATATATAAATGTGTGGATGCATATGAACATATTTGTGTACTCTCTGTTCAACACACAGAGTACTCATGTAAAGCTGTGTGAACACATGAACTAATGTAAATGTTAGGGTGTAAATGTACATTTACTTATGTGTGTTTGTTTGTAGATGTGTGTGCATGCATATGTGTCCATTTGTAGGTGTTCCTATGGATACACATATGTATGTGGATTTATGTGTCTCTGACCCTATGTTTCACATATGTGAAAGTGTCCATTTTGTGTTTATGTGTGCATGTATACGTATGAGTTTACATGCTTCTGCCTGTGTGTAGTTAATTGCACACTTGCATGATTATGTATGAACATATTTACATATGTGGGTCCATGTACATACGTGACCTCATATCTGGGCTCTTTCCAGTTCACAGCTCACTTCCATTCTTAAGAGTGCTTTGCTTTCTTTCTGTTTTAAGACTCATTTTTATTTTGTATGTATGTATGTTTTCATCTGCAAGTATGCCTGTGTACCACCTGTATGTAGTACCAGTGGAAGCCAGAAGAGGGCATTGGATTTCTCAGGAGCTGGATTTGCAGTTGTGAGGGGCCATGTGCATGCTGGAAATTGAACCCAGATCCTCTGGAAGAGCAGGCAGTGCTCATAACAGTTGAGCCATTTCTCTGGGTCACTTAAAATGTCTCTATTTCTATGCCATTCCTGTCCTGTCTTCATCCTCCTTGCAGCTGTCAGAATTTTTGACCTGCTTGTACTGTTGTCTCCATCTCAAGTTCTAATAAAATTGTTCTGCAGCTTCTGAATGTGTCATTAAATTCTTTCATTATTAGGACTAAGAAGCCCAAAGGGAGCCTCAGTTTCCCAAGTAACATGCATGCCTGCACCCAAAGCACCTTACCCATTGAGCCATCTCTGCTGCCCTTGATTGGATTTAAAATCACTATGGAAACAGATCTATAGGTTTACCTTTGAGAGATTTTTTAGATTAGGTCATTGGGATGACAAGACACACCCCAAATGTTAACTTGGCCTGACTCCATGGTCTGAGGTCTTCCACAACATAGAAGGGAGCAAGCTGAGCATTGGCCTGATGTCCAATGGACTGTAAACATTTTATACTGTAAACCAAAGTTAATCCTTCCTCCCTAAAGTTGCCTCTTGTCTGGCGCTTGGTCACAGCAACAAGAATAACAATAATGGAGCCTCTGGTCTGGAGCCAAGCACTAAGCAGATCCTGGGCAGCTGCTCTCTACCCAGTCTCACAAAACCAGAGGAAGGAGGCCTACGAGGAGCTCTAACCCAGGCAGTATCTTAGGTAAGGAGACAGCAACCTCCCCCAACCCTTTCCCCCACACAAATAGGGAGTAACTGGAACCCACTAGGTCCCAGGAATTCACACCTGGCCCAGAGCACCTGTTCCTTCCAGTCTGGGCCTGAACACTGAGAAGATCCCAGGCAGTAGCTCTGCACCCAGTCTCACAAAACCCAGAGTAAGGAAGTCTCCCAGGGGCTCTAACCCAGGTAGCATCTTAGGTAAGGAGACAGCAACACCTACCCCAAACACAGAGTAACTAGGACCCATTAGGACCCAGGAATTCACCCCTGGCCCAGAGCACTGGTTCCTTCCCATCCGGGCCAGAGCACTGAGCAGATCTTGGGCCCCAGCTTTAACCCCAGTAGTAACACCCACCCCACACAGTTCTGAAACAACCAATATAATAGGAAAGAAAGGCTCCAGTAAGAGACAGGGCGGGTAGCACTAAGGTGATCCAGATGGTGAAAGGCAAGCACAAGAACATAAGCACCAACAGCCTAAGGTACTTGACATCATTAGAACCTAGTTCTCCCAAAATAGAAAGTCCTGAATTCCCCTTATCACCAGGAAAGCAAGATTCAGATTTAAATTCACTTCTAATGATTATGATAGAGGACTTTAAGACAGACATAAATAACACTCTCAAAGAATGTGAGGAGAACACAGGTAAACAGGTAGTAGTCCTTAAAGAGGAAACACAAAAAATCCCTTAAAGAATTACAAGAGAACACAAACGAATAGGTGAAGGAATTGAACAAATCCATCCTCGACATAAAAATGGAAGTAGAAACAATAAAGAAATCTCAAAAGGAGACTACTCTGGAGTTAGAAAACCTAGGGAAAAAATCAGGAGTCATAGATGCAAGCATCACCAACAGAATACAAGAGATAGAAGAGAGAATCTCAGGTGCAGAAGATACCATAGAAAATATTGACACAACTGTCAATAAAAATGCAAAATTCAAAAAGTTCTTAACCCAAAACATCCAGGAAATCCAGGACACAATGAGAAGACCAAACCTAAGGATAATAGGTATAGATGAGAATGAAGATTTCCAATTTAAAGGGCCAATAAATATCTTCAACAAAATTATAGAAGAAAAATTCCCAAACCTATAGAACGAGAAGCCCATACACATACAAGAAGCCTACAGAACGCCAAATAGAGTAGACCAGAAATGAAATACCTCCCATCACATAATAATCAAAACACCAAATGCATAAAAAAAGAAATAATATTAAAAGCAGTAAGGGAAAAAGGCCAAGTAACATATTAAGGCAGACCTATAAGAATTACACCAGACTTCTCACCAGAGACTATAAAAGTGAGAAGATCCTGTACAGATGTCATACATACCCTAAGAGAACACAAATGCCAGCCCAGGCTACTATACCCAGCAAAACTGTCAATTACCATAGATGGAGAAACCAAGATATTCCATGACAAAACCAAATTTACACAATATCTTTCCACAAACCTGGCATTACAAAGGATATTAGCGGGAAAGCTCTAATACAAGGAGGGAAATTATACCCTAGTCAGAGCAAGAAAGTAATCCTCTTCCAACAAATCCAAAAGAAGATAGCCACACAAAGATAATTCCACCTCTAATAACAAAAATAACAGGAAGCAACAATCACTGTTCCTTAATGTCTCTTAACACCAATGGAGTCAATTCCCCAATAAAAAGACATAGGTTAACAGACTGGATATGTAAACAGGACCCAGCATTTGCTGCATACAGGAAACCCACCTCAGTGACAAAGACAGACACTACCTTAGAGTAAAAGGCTGGAAAACAATTTTTCAAGCAAATAGTCCTAAAAAACAAGCTGGAGTGGCCATTCTAAAACCTCCAGCCTGAGAACACAAAATGAGGGACACATGGATCCGCCTGTATAGGTAGTTGAGGGTGGCCTTGTCAGGCATCAGTGGAAGTGGAGGGACTTGGTACCCAATAGTTTGGATTCCTAAGTGTTGGGGAATTTGAGATCTGGGAGGCGGGAATCAGAGGATGGTGGGAGCACACCCTCATAGAAACTCCCAGAATTACATGGATTAGATATGATAGAGACAGGCCACCAGAAGACTAGATTTTAGAATTCAAACAAAAATATCTTGATACTAAAATTTGTTTTGGGAATTGTATATTGCAGAATGTACAGCCTTGGTGTATCTACTCATCAAGCTATCTGAGCAGACCTGGTGGAACCTCTGATGTCCTGGAATCTCAGCAGGATGCAATGAACACACAGACGTCAGAGGCTTATCAATTTGTTCTCCCCCCCCCTAATATCTCAACACCTGTAATCAGCTTGAAGAAGTTAATGAAGAGTTGGCGCCCCTCTTCCCTGGGATTGGGGACTGAGGTGGTTAATATTGGTCTGTCTTTCTAGGGAAAAGTAGTGGTTTTGTTGGAACAGGGAGGAATAGCTAGGATTTATTGCATAGCCATAACGTATTGGTAGAAATCTATATAATTGTTATTAAGCTGGTTATAATTTCTTAAATGTTACAAAATTTACTTTGATTTCAAATTTAAGGCTTTCATTAGTATGAGTTTCTTATTGATATAGAAGTGAGATTAATATTGTTACTTTCATAGGCATTGTGCTTATATAACACATTCAGGAATACAAGGCTTAGGCCCAGTCCTTCTTTAAGTTTTTTAAACTGATTTGATAGGGTTAGCCTGTGAGTTAAGTGCCTATACCAAATTCATGGCTCTGAGTTCATTGTTAGAGTGTTTTTCTATATCTTATTTAGAAATAGCTGAGAGGAGTTAACAGACAATTGTCCAGATTGCCTTACATGGATATTTGGTTTTTGAAACGTCAGAAGTCCACAGAATTGACATTACAAACATTTCTGTATTAAGGTTCATTTTGTTTAGAGTCCTGTCTGCTCCTGACAGCTTCCTGTCTTGGATTCTAAGAAGAAATTGAGCATCTTTGGAGTTACTCCAGTTGTGGTGAGACAGCCACTAGGCAAGAATGGACTCTTTTCATCTACAGAAAAATTACTGTCCTGAGAAGGACAGACTTAAAAAAAAAAGAGAGAGAGAGAAAAGAGCCGGG